CGCAGTATATACTTCCTGGGGAAAGCCCCTCTTTCAAATATAGGGTTTGACATCATAAACACACATTTTGCCTATGCTCCTCCAGGCAATTATAATCTTTCAGATACACTGGTCTCAGACTGTTCATAGTTTTATTAGTGAAATCCAGCACCTACTCTTTGGTTTCATACCAGTTGAAAGAGAATATAATTGACCCAAACTAACATTACATCTTCTGCAAAGCACACATCAGCTAACGTTGTCCCAAAGGTGATTTTTCAAGAGGCAACTGGACTGTCTGGTTTTTCTCTGAAGATGTTTTGCTTCTCATCCAAGAAGCTTCTTCTTGGATGAAAAAGTAAAACATCTTGAAAGAAAAACCAAAAAGTCCAGTTGACTCTTGAAAAAGCACCTTTGGGACAATCATGACCTGGATGACTGAGAATCTCCATAGACATCAGCTAACATTCTAGCTCAGTGTTTCCAAACCTCACAGGGTGCCTATATGGATTTTAATTCTCAAAATTTTCCATAGTGATCATTCTGGCTGTGGAATCCTGGAAGTTCACCATCCTAGAAGATTTCTAGATTGGGAAATGGTCACATTTTGTTTGGCCTGATGTCTCTGAAGCTTTTCAAAGGAGACTGATCTAGAATGGATTTCTATAAGCATCTTTTGTATTTGTGTAATTGATTCATCCATCCGTCCATCCGCTGCCCATTGTTGACTGTCAAGTGGCTCTGGATAGCTATATCTTCTTTTTTCAGGGTGTGACATAGGTTCCTATCTGATGTTGGCATCAGTTTTAGTTTGTTAAGCCATAATCAGTCCCACTCTGCCCAGAGGCAGGGCCGAATTTTTACCATCTCTTTGAAATTTGTTGAATTGGAAGGCTAGGCATAATAACATCAGTTTTACTGTATACCCTGCTCTAAATCTCAGGTGACATTTCCCCATTATTTCATGCAGAGCCTAAATATTTACAGGAGTAATCTCCACAAATAAATAAAGATGAAAGAATTCTTTTTTCCTGAATGTTAGGACACATAAAGATGCCAGTGTTAACCAGACATGTTAAGAAGCTTTTAGAATGAATCGGAATGTACGATACTCATTTTGTCTAGTTCCTGTAAAAGTTCTTTTACTAAACTTGGTGTAACATCAAAACATTTCTACTGTTTTAAAGACTTATTTAATATAGTATACCATCTTGAGTTACATATGAAAAAAAGGTGAAATAAAAATATAAAAAATAATAAAACATTTTTGCCTACTTAATACAGCGTTTAGAATCTGTAGACAACTGCAGAGATGACCTTAGAGAAACTATATGGTGATTGTTAGTAGACATGAGTGTAGCTCAAGAAAAGAAGAAAATATAAGAAAGAAATATAAGATCATGCCACTTTGTTGTTAGGCCTTAAAATTTCTGCAGACAGTCCTCAACTTACAACCACAGTTGAGCCCAAAATTTCTGTTGCTAAGCGGGATAGTTTTTGAGTGAATTTTGCCCCATTTCACAATCTTTTTTTGCCATAATTGTTAAGTGAATTGTTGCAGTTGTTAAGTTAGTAACAAGGTTGTTAATTGAATCTGGCTTCCCCCTTGACTTTGATTGTCAGAAGGTCGCAAAAGGTGATCAGATGACCCTGGGACACTGTAACCATCATAAATATGTGCTAGTGCCAAGCAACTGAATTTTGATCATGTCACCATGGGGATGCTTCAACCATGGTCATAAACATAAAAAATGGTCATAAGACTTTTTTTTTCATTTTTCATTGTAACTTCAAATGGTGACTAAACGAACAGTTGTAAGTCAAGGCTATCTGTTTTATGGCTTATTTCAATAGAGTAGAATTCTGGAATTCTAATATCTCTGTTACCTGATCTGGCCTGTGTCAAAGGCTGGCAGAGTCCAACCAGATGCCAAAGGATAGTCCCCAAGGAGGAAATTAATAAGAGCATTTGCAATATAAGCAATGACCTCTGCATCCAGATTCTGTCTTGATTATCCGTAGGAACTTTGAAATAAGCCAGTGATGGACTTTATAATTATATAAGAAGCTTTTATTCCACACATTATGGATAGCACAAAAGTAAAGTATGTGCAATAGAAAAGGAAATTAATGGCATTGAGCAGATTGTAGAAGGGCTTATCCATTATTGAGGTAAGAATTTTGAGAGTAGTGCTTTACATGGATTTATTTACATAAGTACACATCATTTTCATGATGTCACTGTATAAATTGGTGCAGACAACATTTGTGTAGTGAAGTTGTGATGCAAACTGCAGTGGAAATATGCTCTGCTGCAGGAGAAATCAGTTGCATTGAAGCCTAGTAAAATTAGGTTTCACTGGATACTTTTTACAAAACTGCCATCACTTCAAGATGATTAAAGGATTCAGATTCTGCAAGTAATTTCCAAGTAAGAAATTATATTTAAAAGGTCCACAGTCTATCAAATAGCAAAATAAGTTCCCAGATAAAATCATTTTGTTGACACACTGAACTTAGCAAAGTTTTGAAAGTGTAGGAGGATGTTAGAAGAATTTTAAAATAATGTCCTCTCTAGTATTAAGGAGTTGGAGGATCCATTATAAACAATGAGGTTTAATTACTGTGTAAGTATCCTCTTGAATTCTCCCTACATATTTTATTTTGCTGTCTGCATCTGTAAAAGAGTTTAGGAATTACTTGGACACACACACATAATAGCAGAAGCAATAGCACTTAGCACTATAGCACTTAGACATATATAGCTGCATAGTGCTTTACAGCACTCTCTGAGTGTTTTACAAATGTCAGCATATTGCTCCTAATAATCTGGTTGTTCCAGTTTTAAAATAACCTATCTGCTTCTACAGCCGTAGAGGTGCAGTGGTTAGAATGCAGCATTGCAGGCTAATTCTGCTGACTGCCGACAATTTTACTGACCTTGGAAGGATAGACGGCTGAGTCAATCTTAAACTGGCAAACTGCTGGCAGTCAGCAGAATTAGCCTGCAATGCTGCATTCTAACCACTGTGCCGCTACGGCTGTAGAAGCAGATAGGTTATTTTAAAACTGGAACAATTATTAGTTGAAATAGTTCAATAACGCAGTATGAGTATTACATGAAGAAAGGTCCACAGTCTGTCCTATTAGTTAAATTTATCAAGCTCAGAAGAAAATCATTCATAATCATACATAAAGCAAAGACAGCCCTTTTATCTTTTTATGTAACAGATTTTAAATACTTTTATTTAATTCCTAATGTTTGTTATCTGGGTATGCTATTTATCATCTTTATATTTTTTGTGATGTTTACTTCTTTAATTAATTAATTTAATCAGAAGTTCCCCTTAATAGTGTAAATGCCTTCTTGGCCCACTTCTCTAACGATACTAAAATGAATCATTTACAAAACATCCCAACAGGATAGCAAGTACAGGTAATCTTCAACTTACAACCGTTCAAAGTTATAATGGTGCTGAAAAAAGTGTCTTACGTGTCTGTGACAAGGAAGGTTGTAAAACGGGGCAAAATCCACTTAGCAAATGTCTCACTTAGGAACAGAAATTTTGGCCTCGATTGAGGTCGTAAGTCGAGGACCATCTATAATGAAATGTTACCTAAGAACAAGAAGTATCATTTTCTGTTTCTGCTTAAGATTATTTAAAATAAAGATGCAAACTTATTTGCTCCTCCTATATTGGAAACAAGAAGAAGTGGGGGAGAGAGAAGGAATAAATATATTCATGTACTATTATATTGAGCCATAATCATTCATAGTCCAAAACTAACTTGGAGAGGAAAAAATGCTTTCCTGCTCCTGAATGGGATCAGCGCTGCTTTATACAAACTGTCCAGGATGTTTCTTTTGCTATTGGTTTTCACTTTCTAACCTTTCTGTTTATTTTGCCAGAAGGCGCCTGCCTTTTTTCAAATGCTAAGTGGTTCTCCTTGTTTTCTCTCAACAACTGTTCTTTCCTCCACATCCTATCTTATCATCATGAAATCTTACTTATTTGGCAAAAACCGAAAGGCTGCAACATCCCTGAATAGACCTGCTTACAGGTCAGGGCTTAACCTCCTTTCATATCTCCCTAAGTATCTTCTTCTCCTTCTCTGTCTGCAGTGGAAGCTGCTCTTTAGAACAAGTGCCCAATTGTTGCTTTGTCGCTTTTGTCTCGTTTTCTGACAAGATCACTGTCAGAAAGGTGGAGGTTGCCGTCCCTAGAAGCAGGCCTGTTGCACTGCTTTTGTCATTCGTGTAACATTAGTGCTTGTTTTGTAAAGCATGGTAGAGCCTCTACAGCCAAGATTTACATTCTGATTCTCCTCTTAAATATTGCAGATTGGCCAGAATTTGTGCTAACAAATTTAAAGACTATTGATGTGCCACGTTTCTCCTCACAAGGATCCATAATTTATTCTTTTTGAACCTGAATAGAAGTTTCAGTAAGATAGCAGATGCTAAAAGCTGTTCCTGGAAGCAAAGTTTTTCTGCCTTAATTCTGTACGGCAAGGAAAACCAACTATATTATTGAAAATGACACCCTGTCTAAATTTTAACTTCATTTGCCTTGTGGTTTCTTCAGCTATAATTTTGTTTGCTATAATTGTCAAACTCTTGGTTCCGCAGATGAAGTTTTCAGTAACAGGGAACCTGGCAAGAAATTTTGCTTGTTAGAAAAATCTCCTTTGGGAAATTGCATTTATTGTCAACACTGGAGTTTCTGTAGGAAAAAAAAATCATTTCAAAAATGAAATGAAGTCATTTTTGTCAAAAGCTTAAAAAACAGAGATGCGATCTCTACCATTGCCATCACCCCTGCTATTGAAATGCACAGTGGCACTGTACAGGTAACCCCCACTTAACTACAATAATTGCTGCTAAATGATGCAGTCATAACACAAGCTGCTTAATGGTGGCAGTTCGGGCAAGTCTCAGGTTACCATCATTAAGCAGGGACCATGCATGTTGTTAAGAGAGGACCTTATTACATTTTCGAAGTTTATGCAGACTTTCCTATTGACTTGGCTTGTGAGAAGTCGAAAGGGAAAGTCACAAATAACAATCACGTGACTATGGGATGTTGTAGCGGTTGGTAAATCTGGGCCAATTGCTGAGTACCCAGATTGCAATCATGTGTCCACAGGATTACTGTGCCAAATGGAATTTCAAGGACCGTTTTAACTACCACTCATTCAGTGCCATCACAAATTTGAACAGTTGCTGAATGAGTGATTAGTTAAATGTCCACCTGTATTACTGTCCGCTGAATTTCTTCCGATTTAATTACTAGAGACAACGGCTCACAAACTGGTAGCTGACTTGAAAATAAATGAGTTAAAAAGGTGATTAATAAAAGTTTTATGTTCAGGGACATATGAAGTAACTTGACTACTAGGGCTGTGTAAAGCCTTTGAAAGAGGTTCATCATTATTATGAAAGCATAAATTGAATTATGAAAACAGCAGCGTCTTCTGTATTTTTCAATACTTGAAGAAAGCCAAGCAAACTGGACACATGTTTAGAGACAGCTGGAACCTGTGCAAAACTACTGCATGCATGAAAAATAAGCTGTTTTTAATTATTAGAAAAGAATTGTTTCATATATACTCCTGCACATTCTGAAAAACCTACTCCAAAAACTGTGAATAAACAAGTCATTGCAGTTAGCATGATAAAAGGTTTGGTGTTTGAATGTATGGTACTATATTTGATTCTGCTTCAAATAGCAAAGCTATTATTTTTGTCACGGTACATTCATTTGTCACAACACATTCACATATAAAAAAAACACGGATTGCCATAAATGCTAATGCTGTATACACATGGTATATCTTTATCCTTACATTACTTAAGCAGATAAAATGAATTGGGGACTTCTAGGGGATATAATAATTTGCTTCAATTATATGTAGTATCATTGCTTTGAACCAATGAAAATATTGATTAGCTATTTGTTTATGTGTTTTTTTTTTGTAATGCTAATTGGTTTCATTTCCTTTCCTGATTTAGATTTGAAGAAAACTCTTGCAGTCTTACTGGATAATATATTGCAGCGCATTGGGAAGCTTGAGTCTAAGGTTGAGAACCTTGTAATCAATGGCACAGGTACAAATTCCACAAATAGTACCACCACTGCAATTCCTAGTTCGGGGACAGCTGAAAAGCTGAATGTTGCAGGTAGGTCTGAAGACTCTTAGTTTCTGCCCTTTAATTGTGAACTATATAACATAATATAAAATAGTCTAAAATAGATTTTATTATTATTATTTTAAAGATTCAGGGGAGGGGAAGGAAACTAAGGAAGGTTCCTCAATTTACAACCATTCAGTGACTATTCAAAATTTCAATAAAACCGAAGGAAGGGAGTTATGACCTGTGCCCAAAGTTACAGCTTTTGCAGCACCTCACAGTCACATGGTAAAAATTAGGATTTTTGATAGCAGGAATCTGATGCCAACTAGATCAGCCTTCTCCTTGATGATCAAATCAGCAAATAAGGGGAGCCTTACTAAGATTGACCTGGAATTTAATAGCAATAACCCAAAACCTGGGCCATTGTTGTTCTGCTGACCACTTAAATTGGTTGAGCGCAGGGGGCCAGAACATGAAACAGGTTAAAACATTGGGATTGTGTTCCCTTTGAGTGTCTCTCTCTATCTCCCAACCATTATATCTCCCCATATCCAACACCACTGAGATACAGTACCTCACCCTATTCATCCCTCCAGTTTGTTCATCCCTCATCCTCAACCTCCTTTCTCAAGCTAAAATGCATCCCCACTCTAAACAATATACATTACAGGTAGAAGAAAACCCGACAGGTGCTATAGCAACAGCTCTCAGCATCTTCAAGTCACCATGCCTCCCTACTCATATCTTCATCTAGCAAGAATACCCTATACTAATTAATCACTGGAATGAATTAATCAGAACAATTAATCAGTGGAACGGCTTACCTTCAGAAGTTATGGGTGCTCCAAAACTGGAAGTTTTTAAGAAGAACTTTGTCTGAAATAGTATGGGGTCTCCTGCTTGAGCAGGGAGTTGGACTAGAAGACCTTCAAGGTCCCTTTCAAGTTGTTAATTGCTTTCACCCATGCTGCAGGGAGCCACTTCACCAGTCTTACCCCTGGTTATTTATTTTATTTATTTATTTTATTTATTTGATTTGCCAATTGTTTACAAGATAATAAGTATAAGTGTATACATAGTTGTGAATACATGAAATGGGTACATATAAGAAAAATAAAAGAAGAATAAGAGAAACAATAGGACAGGGACGGTAGGCACGTTGGTGCGCTTATGCACGCCCCCTACAGACCTCTTAGGAAAGGGGTGAGGTCAATAGTAGACAGTCTAAGGTTAAAGTTTTTGGGGTTTGGGGAAGAAACTACAGAGTCGGGTAGAGTATTCCAGACATTGACCACTCTCACCCAGAGAAGAGTATCCAAGTACATTTACCTCACTCTCATCCACAGGCCCAAGATCCCCAGAGAAACCTCTTCAAAGTACAAAAACATGTTATTTGAAACAAAATAGTTCAGGATTGGCTTCACATATAGCTGAGAAGATGGTGGTCATGCAAAGCCTTCAGCAGCTGAAGAAGCCAAACACATTATCTGAAATGCTGCTGCTGCAGTCACTGGCTATCCACTATGTGATGTAAATTAATGTAGACACTGTCTCCACCATCTCCCAAGAATCCACTCTTTCCATTGTCTAAAGTATGGACAGAAAGTCTAGCCAGCAACCTATCATCTATACCTATATATCTCTTGATAGAGGACAGGAGAGCTTACTTTCTTTGCTGTCTCCATTATTGAGGTGTTCTTGGTGCTCTCTGAGTTTGCTTGTTCTCTTGCAGATGTTTCATTATCCAACTAGGTAACATCATGAATGCTAGTAAGGAGTGGGGTTTACTGTTGGTTTATATTCTAGTGGCTTAACCTGTCAGTGATGGTGAGGGTGATCTTAGAGATTCTTTGGTTGGGCTGTTTACTGTTGGCTTCTTTGGCAGTTTCTTGATTGGGATATTGATTACTTGATTGTTGGTCTGATGTTCATCTTGTAGCTAATCTATGCTGATCTGGGTGCTGATTATTGGTGGAGAAGTGCTTAGGTCTTTTTGTTCCATTTTTAGCTAGTTGGTTGTTTCTTTTACATAATCTATAGATGTTGTTATGTCTGTGTGTCTATTGATGGCTGATTTGTCAGAATGCTAGGCTTCTAGAAATTCCCTGGCATTTTTTGGACTTGGCTGGTGTAGGATGGTCACATTTTCCCAACCATTTTAAATTGTGGTTAAATCTGTCTGTGTGTTTCACTTATCTTTACCATCTTGGATATTGATATAATACATGAAAGTGAGTCCTGAGCTAAATCGTTTTTTCTTAAAATGAAGAGACATTCAATCAATCAGAATAGAGCTGGAAGGGACCTTGGAGGTCTTCTACTCCAACTCCCTGCTCAAGCAGGAGACCTATACCATTTCAGAATAATGAAACATTAAGAGGAAATACCTCATATCCATATTTCACAACAAAAAATGTAAAGATTTTTTTCCCATACCTGAAAATTTGTAGTCTATTTGTTCTTGGGCTTAAATTCAGAACATGTGTTTTATACGCATTTGCTTCTGAGAGACTTTTGGAAGTCAAATATCTATCTTCTGTTTAAAGGCATAACAATGCCTCTAAGTAAAGATTTGTAGTGCTTGTTTGAAGTTGAATTTCCAACTAAAATATTGCAGCCATTTTTATTGTAGATTCTGAAATACAAACATTTGTTTTCTTTTTTTGATGTTGTTTGATAGTTTTTATCTATCCTATGTTAAGTAGGGCTCCTTTTAGGCAGAAATTGTTCAAAATTTCTCAAGCCATAAGATGAAATTATATTATGAAATGCCTTCCAATGTAATGTGAACCTGGAAGCTGTGTGGTATTGCTTAAAAAAGTAATAAGGGTGTAATGAACGAGTAACATTTTCTGTTTTGCATTGTATTCCCTCCGGGCTATCTGTTCCTAGCTAAATCCTGACAGCTGTTACAGCTGTATGATTATTTAATTTATATTCTGCCTTTCAAGTAGGATATAGATGTGGTGGAGAAATACATTTTGTTCTCTCAGCAACTTTGTAGCTTGGCCATAGGAAATATCCTAGTGTGACTCATAAGTTTAATGATTGGGTGGACACTTAAACCTGGCTAGCCCTTGTTAGTTACATCCAACATCTGAACAACTATGTCACATTGTGTTGTAATGACGAGGCAGTCGAGTTGTTTGATCATGAACAACTGAATCATGATGATCTTTATTGGAGTCTAGTCTTGCATTTATACACATTTTTAGTTATCCTCCATCGCTGGTTAACTTTGATTACTGCTTAACTTTCGTTACTGTTTTGCACAGTAATCCATACAATTAATTATCTCTAGTTAAAGTCTAACATATGTTTACTTCCTCTCTCTAATCCTCCTTTAGATTGGTGACTTTGTTTACCTGAGTTGTATTTGCTTGGAAACATTCTTTATCTGAGGTTTGCCATCCAAGATTGGAACATTCCTGCAATTACAACTCTACAACATTGGCCACTCTCTGTTTGTTTTCTATAATGTGTGACACAGGGTAAGATACACTTCTTCCTTGCATGTTCATTTTTTCTTCCATTCTTATCACTCCTGTTATCTGTAATGGAATCACACCAGAATGACAGTCCTCAAGAACAGCCATATTCCCATACCTCATGCATATTCATTGAATACTGGGTAAGGTAAAGGTTTCCCGTGTCCAGTTGTGTCCAACTCTAGGACGCTATGCTCATCTCTGTTTCTTGGCTGGTGGTGCTAACATTGTCCAATGACATTTCCATGGTTATGTGGCCAGCATGAATATATGCCAATGGCACACGGAATACTATTAGCTTCCCATTGAAGTGGTACCTATTTATTAATTTTCATTTGCATGCTTTTTAACTGCTAGGTGGGCAGGAGCTGAGGCAAGTAATGAGAGCTCACCCCATTGTACAGCACTGGGATCTTGAACCCCCAGCTGTCAGTTTTCCAGCTCACAAGCTCAGGGTTTTTAACTACTGAGCCAATATGTCTCTTGGGACCAAAACATAAATCCAATGGAAAAGCGCTGCTGGTGGACAGGGCTATTTTCTGCAAAGGTAGAAATCCTTAAGATATGTGACATCATATCTTAGGCTAAAGAATACTAATAAAAAACATTCAGGGAAGGAAAAATACATGAAATTTTGAATCCCAGAGTGACTTTAATGGGAATTTATTTTTTGTTTTGGGTTGTGGAGGCAAACTGAGACAGTAAAGAGGAAAGTATCCTATTTATGTTAAATTTATATTTACCAACAAAGAAATAAAGGGAGATAAATATCTTATTTATCTTTTCTGCTTTGGCAGGGCTTATTCGCACCCCTGCTATAGCAACAGAAAGGAGTAGAGTTGTCCATTATATTTTTAGGAGTTTTTGAAAATTTGCAATACATAGACAGGAATTGACATTTGTGATTTCCCTCTCCCTGGTGTGTTTTTTTAAGGTTTATTTTCTTGAAAGTTTAGAAATGATATAAGTCAGTTCAAAAAGAATCTTGATAATTTATCAACTAGTGCTAGAAATGGATGGACAGAGAGGCAGCATAGGAAATGAGAAAAAGGAAAATCTATTATTCCTTCCAGCTTGTGGCAGAAAACCAGTTTGGAGGAAAAAGGAGTACTTGTTTTAAAAATGATGAATGAAAATAATGTTAATTGCTTTATAAGGTATTGATTTTTGAGTTGTTTTTTTCTTTAGAAACATAGTTCTTTCTTCTATTTTACGAAGTATAATTGTTATGGCCTCTATCCTATTTACCATGTCTCAACAATCTTTCCCCTTTGGTTTCTTGATTTTTGTTTGTTTTTTATTTGTCAATCAGTCTGCTCATTTTTTTTCCTGGTTGCTATAAAGGAGCATGTTTTGATTCTATTTTGTGCTGCATTCTGCAACTGGGTACTGTTGTAATTCATGTTTAATTAAGAGAGAAATTATGCCTAATTTTTCATAAATAAAATTGCTATGCTATAAGTGGTGATACATTTCATGTTCTTAAAATGATAATATTAAGTGTGGTGTTTTTAATGAACTTTTCTGGCTTTCTATTAGTACAGTACAGCAATATGGGAAATAATTATTTGGAGGCCTGAAGTTGAGGTTAAATAAAGATTGGATATTCTTATTTAGCTTTGTGTAAGACTAAGATTAACTCCTTAGATAATATTCCACCTTTCTTCTAGGAATGCCATATAGAACACATTGCACTCCAACAATTTTTCCACAACTTACTATGGAACAGGTTCAGCTAAGAATTAATGACAAGCTTAACTCAAACTCACCCACCTCTTTAACAGTTGCATCACAGCATGGGCATAGCAGGAAAGGAAGTGTCATAGTCCCAGTTGCTGAGTTTAACCTTGCAGATTGTGGAATCAAGATCTGAATAGAATAACCTAAACAGTCTGATTGTGATATTTCATGCTCCATGTGAGTTCACTATTTGTAAGGTTTTCTGAAAATACCTTTTTTTTTCTTTTTTCCTAAGATGAACACATCATTTCAAACTATATATCTTGGGAGGATGGAGGGGAAAATTGATGATTGTGACATATTTAACTTATTAAGGAAGTTAAGAAGGAGGGATGAAGTAGACCAAAGGTGTCAAACTCGCCACATCATGTTGCAGTCACGTGACGTTTTGCAAAGTTTTTCCCCATTCGTGGAGCTGAGGTGGGCATGGTCTGCACGTGATGCATCCGGCCCACGGGCCGCCAGTTTGACACCCCTGAAGTAGACATAGCATATTAAGCCTGTCTCTGTCAAGATACATAAAAAATAATCATTGCTTTGTTAAATTGCCAGTTGCTTTTTTTTGCCTTGTGATCTTTAAACTGTACAGAAATAGTGCTATGTTGAGTGAAAAAAAGAAAGAGATTTCTGTCCTTCTAAAAAGAAAAAGAAAACTTGGTGATAATTATAAACAGACTTTACACTTACTTTCTTCCATGACAGAAAAATAAGTCTTCTGAATACTTCTCTTTGAATTACTTACAGATCATCTACTGAGTGACAGGCATAGAGCTCAGCCAAATTAGTAATTGTGTATAGGTTTCCTGTGTTTTCTAAAATGTCAGCTGTACAGATTAAGTTAATTATGCACAGGCTTTAAAGGGGATTGTCTTAATTACTGTGATAGTCTTGGCAGTTATCATGGCTAGTACTAAGGTCTGCCTTCTCTTCTTGTAGTTCCAAGGCCTTTGTTCTCATAGACGTCTCCCTTTAGTATCCATATATTTGTCTTCCATAACCTGCATATCAGATATATTGATGTAGCAGTTGCCAAAAATACTATAGTACTGTGATACTGTCTATAAATTTGAAAGCTGCAGTGCAATCATATCTGGGTATACCAGGTTGGACTGTTGTCAATCCCCTCATAACTCTTCCATTATGAAGTAATCCATTTGTGTCAGCAATTTGAGCTATGTAGCAAATAAATTACATTTGCACCTAACATACAAGCCTGTTATCTTCTTGATTTTATTTATTCTGCTTTTATATTGCTACATTCACTGAGCACTCGCGGTGGTTTATTACCATATAGTAAAACAACCACATAACCATCAAATAAAAGTAGCATATGAGTAAAAATGTGCATTGGACATAACCCACCAACAGTTATTTTAACTGTTAAAATCTCTTTTGAGCAGTTCTGTTTTCACAGTCCCAGGATATTTGGAGATAGGTTGCTGTATGGCTTTCTATGGAAAGGTTGTTCCAAAGGGTTGGAGCCATAACTGAGAAGCATTTTGCTTCAGTCTTTCGAAATTCCTGCAAAAGAAGCTCTTGATATCCTACGCAGGATGTCCAGAACAGGTGGAGAGGTACTACTTAAAGGAAATAATCCTGCAAATATCTGGGCACTAAGCCATGTAAGGCTTTATAGCTCAAAAGCCAGTATGGGTAGTTCTCAACTTACAACAGTTCGTTTTTCATCAAGGTTACAACGGTGTTGAAAAAAGTGACTTAAGACCATTTGTCACACAACCATTGCAGCATCCCTGCAGTCACATGATCAAAATTCAGATGCTTGGCAACTGGTTCATATTTATGAAAGTTTTAGCTTTTGGGGGCTCAATTGTGGTGGTAAGTCAAAGACTACTTGTGCTTTGAATCATGCTGTGATAAAAGCGCACCAATGCATTAACACTGATTGAAATATTCTCTGTGAAGATTTCTTACAGAGCTGACTACTACTTTTAGCACTTATTTCCAAATAACTCTATAAAGTCAGTCATAAGGCATTGTGGTATTATCAGAAGTAGCCAGGGCACCTCCTCCAGGAATGGATGCAGCAGATAACGCTGGTATGGCTTCCACCTTCCTATCTGGCTATAGCCATGAATTTAGGAGGCTTGCCAAGATCTGGACTTGCTCCATCAGGAAGCCTTCAGTTTGTGGATTGTCATTTTGTTCCTGTTGCAAGTTCAAGATAGTAGAAACACTAAGCAAGATGCATGTACATAAATTCCATTTTAAAAGTGTTTTATTATAAAAATAAGCTTTTTTATTAAAAAGAAATATTAATTAACACTTTTTACTTCCACAGCTATCTTCTCTCCTCTTCCTAACACATGGTATTTTTACATAAAGCCTAAACTGTTCGATATATGTAAGGGAAATCAGTAGCTTGAAAAGGTGATTCCAAACGTTTGGTTTGACATTCCCATCCTAAGAGAGTTTTCATACTTCAGTAACTGTCAACAGAGCTACTATTAATAGAGCAAGCCAAAATTAGATATTACAGGGCTACAGAGAAAAAGTTCTGCTGAAAAGAAATCTATTTTAAGAATAGAATTGGGTTTAGAGAATTATTGCTTTTTTACCATAGTTATTGCTACACAAGAATTGAAATAGTCTTTTCTGCTTTAGTTATTATTTGCACCACATTTTCTGTCTGAGCCACCTATTACCTACCGTTAGTTCCTGATGTTCCACCCCATTATATGATTTATCAAGCATTCCTGCTCAGCAGAAGGATACATGGCTTTAAGCTAATTATGCCTACTCCAAACTCGTTTCCATATGATACAAATTAACATAATCCATATGATACAGATTGAGCTTTCTCATGTGTAACAAACATGTCAGCTTAAAAACTCTGCCTAAAGCTCTTGAGGACCCATCAGATTATATCACTGCCCAGTGATAAATCATTATAATAGATTTTTTTTTATTATTATCATGCTGGGGGGGAAAAAGAGCTATTTATCCAAATGAACTAAATAAAATAAAATGTAAAATAAAATGACTGTAACGGTGGGGTCAACTTCCCATTACCTCACTGTAAAATTTCTGCCCAGTCAATACCACCAGTACAAGAGTGTGGCACAAAGTATATATCTTGGTTTACTGTCTTGTTTGTTGTCATGGCAACCTTGAATTCCTGACTTATTCTGTCATAACATGAAAGTTGCTCTCAAAAATCGTTAGCCTGGGAATCTTCAACATGTCTGACAGGTTACCAAAACTTTGGAATCCCAACTGAGTTGAATAACAAAATGAGAGAAGGTTTTGGATCCTACAGTTCTCACTAATATCCATTTCTGTCTGTTTTTACACATATAATAAAGTATTTTAAATGCATGTATTTATTGGAAAACTCCGTTTTAATTTTAACGGGTTTTGAGCCTTTATCTACTCTTCTTACTAAAATTGTTATTCAGGCCTTTGACTTCCATCAGCTAATTGAATGATAGCTGTACTTTAGTTTAACGAATAGGTTAATTGCATTTCTGGTTAAAAAGTTAGTTGTACTTAATTATAAATGATAAACAATTATTTCCATTAATTCTTAATAACCTCTCATGTCTGAGCATATTTGATGCACATTCCATTTATTATTCCTTGGTTTCATGGCCCTTTTCCAATTTCCCAGCAAAGAGATGAGGAAGAAGACTGTTGCATTTTTAGAACTCCATAAGTATCTTGGCAATGATTCATCCTCAGTCAGCTGAGGTGGAAAAAATGCTAATCTCTTCTCATGTGTTTAATATTACGTATTACATTGTGTTAATTTTTCTTCTTCAGATCTCATTAACGGAGCCCAGGAACAGTGTGAATTGCCTCCTATGGATGGTTTTCCTCACTGTGAGGGCAAAATAAAAGTAAGCTTCATCTATTACACCATTTATTTGCCTGGATGTATTAATTCTCCAACAGAAAATGTTCTGTTGCTCCCATTTCATCTGACAATTTCTTAATTGATCAAAAGACTGGGGTGAAAAAAAATGCAATTGTCTCTTAGCATGTGACATATTACTATGTGAGTATGATAGCTGAAGCAAAGTAATAATTCATAAGGGATCAAGTAATTGATAAGGTATTGATTCAGATGCCAAAAATAATGTATAAACCTCTTCTTTATGAAGAAGTTGAATAGTAAAATTGTAATTTGCAATTGTATTTGAAGGGCAAGAATAAAAAGAGCCCTTCTGTGAGGAGATGGGTATCTAGGAATTTTGACATAAATATATAAATACATAAAAATGTTAGTTTTCTGTCTCATTTACAAAGACAAACCTGGTTGGATGAACTCCATATAAACAATGTAAACTTCTTGTCACCTATGTGGATAAAAAGCAATAGACTTATATACTGCTTTTTAGTGCTTTACAGCCCTCTCTAAGCAGTTTAGTCAGCATATTGCCCCCAATAGTTTGGGTCCTCATTTTACCGACCTTGGAAGGATGGAAGGCTGAGTCGACCTTGAGCCTGGTGGGATATGAACTGCCAAATTGTAAGCAGCTGGCTGCAGTAGAAGCAGCTTTCAATACTGCACTCTAACCACTGCACCACAGATCAGCATTTCCCTATAAATGATAGCAATTATCTATTCCAGATAACTGAACTTTGCCTTGACCTTGTTGATTTAAAATGCTATTACAGCAGTGTACTTAGTATTGCACCAAGATTCATAAGAACCCAAACCTGTTGATTGAATGCATATGTATTTTTGTTGTTGTTGTTATTATTGCTGCTTTCCTTTCTAGTGGATGAAAGATATGTGGAGATCAGATCCTTGTTATGCAAGTTACGGTGTTGATGGGTCTACATGCTCATTCTTTATTTACCTCAGTGAGGTGAGTAAATTTTCATTTCAACTAATATATTATGTTTTAGTGAAGTTGATCTGAAAGCATCTGATAAACAGGTAGTAGTATGTAAAATCTTGGGCTATACATATTTGCCAGTCTTTAGAGTAAAAGAGTTTGTATTGCTTATGCTGCAAGAGATTACTATAGATATGCCTATGAAAAATTACTCTAATTTATTAATCTAATAGCATGAAAATATTAAGTTTTCATTTTGCTGTACAAATTTCTTTCCTGAGGAAAATGGCATCTCCTTTTCCTCTTTTCAACTAATTATAATTTATCAATATGAACTGGGTTTAGATGCCAGAACGAGCTCTGCCATTCTTTGAGGAAATGTTTTGCTTTAATGAAGGCTGGCTTTGGGTTTTTTTTTGCATGTGGCCCCTTTTAGAGCATCATAAATCAGCCTGTTCTGACCCAGGCTTAGCAGAACCAAGAAACAGAGTCCTTGTCCCGAAAAACCCCTCTTTATTTAGTTACTGTGAATTCATGGCATTCACATACAGAAAAGTCCTGGCAATAATCCTCCCAAGAGTTAATTGCAAGAACAGACATTACCAGTCCTTGGATAGTTGCCAGGCCAGAGCTTCAGTAGCAAAGCTGTAAATTTTAGGAGTCTGATAAGCAAATCTTCCAAAAGAAATGTGAACTAATAGTCTCCTGCAACCACCACTCTCCATTTGCTTCTATTTATTCCCTAAGGAGGGGCCATTCAGCGTCCATGTGTGCCTTTCCTTCCGAGTTGGCCCCTGTTCCTTAATTGTTCTGCTCTCCTGACAGCTCTGCGCATTCGTGCATCTGGAACAGGCTCCAACCATTCCTCCTCCCCACTTATCTCCGACTCTGTAGGTAGTTGGGAAATGTCAAACAGCCCCAGCCCCATCTCTGCTTCTGACGCAGAGCATCCATCAGAGTCTTCCCCAGACTCGAGAACTGGCCCAAGTTCCTACCCATCCTCCTCACTGTCCGAGTCTGCCACCAGTTCTGCTGGCAGCTGGCGGGCCACAACACAGCCACTCTCCTTTGCCTGTTACTGTTGTGTTAACGGGAAGTGCCAAGTAGAATACAACTAGTTCTTGACTTATGACTATTCACCTAGCGACCATTTAATTACAACAGACCTCCCCGGGGATATTTAGAACCTGGTTCCAACATTCCAACCAGCAGACAGGGGATCAATCATGTGACTGCATTTGGGTGCTCGGCAACTGGCTGCCAAACCCAAGGAACCAAGAACAACATGAGGAATTAGTTCAATGTAGTTTCTTTACCCATGCAGGGTCCATTACAGCCCTAAATTGAGGACTGCCTGTATAAGCAAACTTCCCCTGGTCAATGGCTTCTTTCATTGTTGCTAGTTGCCTTCTGAAATTTGCTCAACTACAGTACCAGAGTCAATACAGTTCCTTTGTTCCTATTACATTTTAACCAATGGCCAATTTAATTCAAGTATGTTATATTGAATAAAAATGAACACATTTATTACTGATTTGTTAAGTATTGACTTAGTATGTATGTATAAAGTAACAATTGATAATTGATCATAAAAGAATCAGAGTTAATAATGGTTACTGTAATTATTTATGGCTCCTGATTTTTTTTGCTTCAGTCATTGCAGTGAATACATTGTCCTATTAAACTATTTTAATTTGTTTCAGTTCATTCTTCCTCCTCCTATTATACTATGTAAAACCAATGCTCTTTCCATGGTTATGGAATTTCAGAGGAAGGTCTGAGAGCCATGTGTTAATTATTCCAAGTTCCTATGTGTTTTGCAGACACTGGGTTGACCGGCCACCTCTGTTTTGAATAGTAGTGTACACTCATTTCTTCCCAGTTAGTATCCCTGCATGTTACAACAGGACAGAGTTAACACTTCAGTTTTGTCCAGTTCACACATAACAATTTGCTGTTAGCTGTACACAGCACCAAAGTTCTACTTATAACAGAAAAAGAAAAGGAGAAGGAGCAAACAGTATTTCCGGCAAATCTTAGGGACTTTTGAAACTGGTAAATGGCCTCACAATTAAAAAAATATGTTCCGTTAATGTGAGATTGTGCTGAAATGTAGTCAGGGGTCCTAGGTAGCTTCTTTTCAGAGAGCAAAGGGGCAGCGTAGCTTGGAATAGGAAGAGGGTAAAAATGGATTCTTCCTAGCAGTTCACAGAGTATATCTATAGTTATGCAGATACCGGAAGTTGTTTTAATCCAGCAATATTCCACACCAGGGGTGTCAAACTCGCGTCATCACATTGTTGTCACATGATGTATTGCAACTTTCCCCCCTTCACTAAACCAGAAGTGGACATGGCCAGCGCATGACGCATCCGGCCAGTGGGCCATGAGTTTGACACCCCTATTCTACATGAACAACAATAAAGAAGCTACTCAGAAGTAACTCCATGTGTTGTTCTTGGTCTATGGAGTCTGATAAATGTTTTATCAATAAAAAGTCTTACACTGATCTATTGTAAGCAGTGTGGTTTAGATCTGTTTGTTATAATGTATAGTTTTGTATGTAAACATTTTGAGCAGGTACAGTCACTATCTTGATGCTGCAGTGGTTCAGAGACCCCATGTGTTCGGTGTGAATTGACCTTATTATCCATGATGGATAATAAACCATTGGTAATATGCTGAATGGTTTGTGCCTTCTGTTTCTGCAGTGCACTTATTGAGATTTTGGTAGTGGAGGCAAGGTAATTTTTCCTTGACTTTCATCATACTCCACTCTGTAGTTATGAAGCAATAGTCTGGAAGAAGGGTTTTAAAGTTTTATTTATTTTTTGAATGGTTCTTTCCTGGTTTTGAATCATTTAGTTGCCGCATAATCCATTTCAAGTATTGTTTTTTGGTCCACACACTATTCTTCATTATATAGGTAGTATACACATGTTTAACAAGGACAGTCTGTGATTTGTTGTCTACACATGAAAAAGTCTTAATATAATTGAAAAGGCAAAAAATGAATGCCTTTGAGTGAAATTCTCTTGCATTTTCCATTATTTATTAAATATCTCTAATATGATCAAGTGCATCTGCTTCTTCTAAAACCAAATGTGTATCTTTGGTAGTTTTCATGTATTGTTGACGTCTTGACTGTAATCTTTAGAATTATCATATTAGTATGTGAGATAAGTGAAACTGCTTGTTAGTCTGAATATTATTCAGCACTTTGGTTTTGTGTTACTATTTTGGTATCATTCAATATGCCACTCCTGGGATTTTATTGAAGATTAACAATTGTTTGCTTTCTTGATTTTTGTAATGCAAAATTATAAGTGAGTAATTTGATATTGTGTTACGCTGAATAAACACTTGTTTGTTTCATACTTTTTATCTGCTGATAAATCATCAGCTTTGGTTGTAGATCAGTGATCCCCAACCTTTTTTATGCCGCGGCCCGGTACTGGCATCAACTGGGCGCCGCCATCTTTTTTTGATGAAAAAGTGCTTCCGGTGAGCTTTCTACCCGGAAAAGCTCACCGGAAGCACTTTTTTATCAAAAAAAGATGGCGGCGCCCAGCAACCAGCGGCCCGGTAAGACTTGTTCCGCGGCCCGGTACCGGTCCGCGGACCGGTGGTTGGGGACCCCTGTTGTAGATGACACAGAATAGTGTGTGTCACATCTATGTGTGTAGCTCTTTAATTATTTTTGTACATTTTATGTCAGCCTTCAAAAGATAAGAAGTTAGCTAATTAATATCTCCCTCACATCAACATGTATTCCTGGCCTGTAATTGTAAATGTTGTTATCAATATCTTTTTATAGACAGCCTACATAAGCATATTATAGAGGATACAATAAACCTTGTCCACCATACCTTCAAAAGAAATGTGATAATTCTGGTTGAAAGGTGTTTTTTTAAAAAGAGCAGTGAATCTTGACCCTTCTAATTTTGGCATGGAAAAATTAAATTATTACTTTTGATTAACTGCAACATATTATAAAATAGGTTGAGATCATAATTCCAATCCAACAGACTGTTTATTTTGCTTTGAGTAAGGAGCTTAAATAACATTAATCTCCAGGAATATCTCTGGCTATATTTGCCTGGACACAATGGTCCATCCTTGAAACTCTCCCTCTGGGTGTTTGCATTAAGTAAAATTAGGTGTGTGAGTACAAAGGGGGAAAGCATTCATAATTCTCAATCCTACACTTGTTGCATACAAGTAGTCCTTGACTTACAATAGTTCGTTTAGTGAGTGTTCAAAGTTACAACGGCACTAAAAAAAGTGACATATCAATTTTTCACACAACTGTTGCAACATCCCCACGGTCTCATGATCAAAATGCAGATGCTTGGGAATTGACTCACATTTACCATTATAGTGTCCTGGGATCTTATGCTCACCTTTTGCAATCTTCTGACAAGCAAAGTCAATGGGAAACCCAGATTCACTTAACAACTGTGATACTCGTTTAACAACTGCAGTGATTCATTTAACAACTGTGGCAAGAAAGGCCATAAAATGGTCTTACTTAGCCACAAAAAATTGGGCTCAATTGTAGTCGTAAGTTGAGGACTTTGCTGAGTATTTGCTGTAATGTTGGATGTCGTATATAGTGCCCATATTAATGTGATTTTGGGGCCAGGCGAGGCGTTCTTATCTAGGTATTTTTGTAATTTTTACAGATAGGTTTTATTTTAAGTGTACAAACAATAAAGGATAAGCATTTTATGTTTTATAATACATAGTATTTTATTGTTTGCTTTTTTATATTTTTATTATTTTAATAGGTTGATAATCCACATTGAGAACTTTGGTTATTGGCACATTAACAATTGTAATAGTAACAGATAATAATAACCATAGCCAAATAATTAGCTAGTGTTACAAACTGTTACTTGTTTGACATGTAGCCTACTTTACCGTATACTCTGCTGGAATAAAAGTAACTAGAAGTTGGAAAGAAAGAGCCAATTAAATTGTCATCACTTATATTGCATTTGTTCCTTTGTATCTTTTTTTTTTTTTTA